TGTAGTCTCTTTAATTCTGTCAAATAAAGTTTTCCCCCCTCTGCTGTCAACTATAATTTGAAATAGGGAAGTGCATAACAGCAAAATTTATGAAGACAAAAACTGTCAGAATAAAGGGAGTACCTTTACAAAAAATTACCATACTGTTCTTCTTTTTGTATTTTCATAGTAGATTCATAAAAATGTTTTAATAGTGCAGAATAAGCTTTCAGTTTTTCTCTTTTAAAAATGAAGAAATCAGGGGCACCTGGGTGGTTCAGTGGGTTAAAGCCTCTGCCTTCGGCTCGGGTCAGGATCCCAGGATTCTGGGATCGAGCCCCACACTGTGCTCTGCTCAGCAGGGAGCTTGCTTCCCCTTCTCTCTCTCTCTACTTGTGATTTCTGTCTGTCAAATAAAAAAATAAAATCTTTAAAAAAAAAATGAAGAAATCAAGTTATGCTTAAACAAATTATTAAGGTCTTTAGGTGGCAACATCTGTCAAGATACAACAAATCAGTATGCCAGTGTGTGCAAACACAAACACTAGTTAAAATTTTTACATTTGTGGGGCACCTGGGTGGCTCAGTAGGTTAAAGCCTCTGCTCAGTCCTGGGATTGAGCCCCACATCGGGCTCTCTGCTCGACAGGGATCCTGCTTTCCCCCCTCTCTCTCTCTGACTGCCTCTCTGCCTACTTGTGATCTCTGTCTGTCAAATAAATTTTTTAAAAAATATATTAAAAAAAAAAAATTTTACATTTGTTGGGACGCCTGGGTGGCTCAGTGGGTGAAGCCTCTGCCTTCGGCTCAGGTCATGATCTTAGGGTCCTGAGCCGGGCATGGAGTTCTCTGCTTAGCAGGGAGCCTGCTTCCCCTTTCTCTCTGCCTACTTGTGATCTCTCTGTCAAATAAATAAATAAATAAATAAAAATCTTAAAAAAAAAAAAAAAATTTTACATTTGTTCAATTAGTAGTTTTAGAATACAAACTCCTATACTACATATTCTATGTAATATCTATGTCATATTTTTATAGTTGACAAGCAAGAATTTTGTGTATATCCTAAATGCATACCACTACAGAGAAAAATATAAGGACATTTTTGCAATATACATAAATTAGACCTGACACATCATGGGGGTTCAATAAAACTTTGTTGAAACATACTAGTGTGCCACATAATGGCAGACGAAGAACTGTAAGTCGGATTCCATTTCTATAAAAAATGGTAAGACAACAATATAATACAATGGTTACAAGAACGGTAATAAGACCACAAACTTTGGATTCAGACAAACTGGGGTTCAAATCTCAACTGTAACACTTCATAGGTGAGTGACATTGGCAGTTATTTCACCTAAGTTTATCTCCTCATCTGCAAAATAGAAATACCTACCTCATAAGGTTGTAGTGCTTTTTAAATGGCAGTTATAATTTTTATATAACGTGAATTGCCAAAAACCCATAAACAGTCCATTTTTTTCTAAGTCCTAAACCAAATTAATCTGAATCTCTGGAGGATGAGGTAGAGGCCTGCATATTTTTGCAAGTTTTACAAGTGATTCTGAGGGCAGCTGGGTGGCTCAGTCATTAAGCATTTGCTTTAGGCTCAAGTCATGATCCCAGGGTCCTAGGATCGAGCCCCGCATTGAGCTCTCTGCTCAGCTTTCCCACTTCTCCTGCTTGTGTTGCCTCTCTGGTTGTGTCTCTCTCTGTCAAGTGAATAAATAAAATCCTAAAAAACAATAACAACAACAAGTGATTCTAACTCACATTTTCATTTAGGAATTTTCATTTAGAGTCTTACTACTAAAGCTTTATCTGAGCCCCAGGTAAGTTAACGTCATGAAGATAAAAGAGCATTAAGACATGATACTCTGGTTTAATTCCAAGTTTGTAAGACAGACCGTTAATCAAAATTCCTTTTACAGAGAATAGAACCATACTGCAAAATTCCAATTTAAAATCCTTTCCAGGGGCACCTGGGTGGCTCAGTGGGTTAAGCCACTGCCTTCAGCTCAGGTCATGATCTCAGGGTCCTGGGATCGAGCCACGCATCCGGCTCTCTGCTCAACGGGGAGCCTGCATCCCCCTCCCTCTCTGCCTGCCTCTCTGCTTACTTGTGATCTCTCTCTGTCAAATAAATGAAATCCTAAAAATTAATTAATTAATTGATTAATTAACTTAATTAAATAAAATCCTTTCCAGAGGCGCCTGTGTGGCTCAGTGGGTTAAGCCTCTGCCTTCGGCTCAGGTCACGGTCTCAGGGTCCTGAGATGGAGCCGGGCACTGGGCTCTCTGCTCAGCAGCGAGCCTGCTTCCCCGCTCTGTCTGCTTGCCTCTCTGCCTACTTGTGATCTCTGTGTCAAATAAATAAATACAATCTTTTTAAAAATAAATAAAATAAAATCCTTTCCAGGGGCACCTGCGTGGCTTAGTTGGTGGAACATGGAACTCCTGATCTCAGGGTCATGAGTTCAAGCCCCAAGTTGGGTGTGAAGCCTATTTAAAAAAAAAATTTTTTTAAACAAAATCCTTTCCAAAGTCAGGGAAAGCTGGATTCCATATTGAAATTTTACATCAAAATTGGGTATATCCTAACCTCTTCATATTCATTATTGAATAATTCTAATATTGAATATTTTTGAGTCACTGCTCATCTACACATCAACAGTGAGCCAAGGCTGTATACAATATTTAAGCTCTCTTATTTGTTATCATTCTTAAAAATAAGTTTAAATTTACAGTTAAAATCCACTAACACTAAACCCTAATCCATTTTTTATTTGACCAATATATTTTCCTTAAAATGCTATTGTTTTAAGTAATCTCTACACCCAATATGGGGCTGGAACTTACAACCTAGAGATCAAGAGCTGCAAGCTTTACCAACTGAGCCAGCCATGCACCCTTTGACACATGATTTTTAAAGGTGCATCTTACAAGCAATCTTATTTAAGACTGAAGGTAACTAAAGCAAATTCAATATTCCAGAAAAAAACCTGAAACCCTATTAACTAAGTAACCCAATAAAACATTTTAGAGAAATATGTAGAAAACATACAGAATCATGAACATTCCACTTCAAAAAAATCAGCGTGAAATAATAAAAATCCCTCACAAAAAGTAAGAATCTAGAAACACTTGTTAAAAATAAACAAAAAAAGCTCAGAAGGCTTTATCAGAACTAATATGCCAACAGCAGATTAACAGCAACAAACAAGAAAAGGAATAGTCCTTAAAATATTTCACTGTTACTGGCAGAGAGGAGAACTAAAAGGGAAAGAAGGGGCTAGGCAGTCATATAGACCTCATTAATATATAGATTTTAATTTAGACAGAAGTAAGACATTTTCTCAGACACTTAGTGAAGCTTATAAATGACTAACGCACTGTTAACCTACGAAGTGTTAAAACCAAGCTTTCAGGTGCTTACAGAGCAAAATAAGCGTCTCATCCTCTACGGTAGGAAAAAAATAAAATCCAACCTTTCATACAACAGTGCAAAGGTCCTAGACACTATACCCAAGGACTGGTGAGGTATTATTTAGTGAGTCCAAGACTCAGTACATTTGTAAATGCAATTTTTAAAAAATAACTGTCTTACTATCTTCATTCACACAGAATATTAACTTTGCAACACAGTGTAATAAAAAGGATTTATCAAGAGAACTCTATAAATCCCACATATTTTAAACCAGACTATGCACAAGTTAAAAGAAACAACAGAAAAGTGGAATACAAGCTTTTTGAAAGTTACATTTTTTGAAGTTCAATAGTGAGGCATCTGTGTGGCTCAGGCAGTTGACCGTCTACCTTTGGCTCAGGTCATGATCCCAGAGTTCTGGGATCAAGTCCCACACCCGGCTCCTTGCTCAATGGGACGTCTGCTTCTCCCTCTCCCTCTGCCCTGCTTATGCTCTCTTTCTCTCTCACTCTCTCTCAAATAAATAAGTTGGGTTTTGGGTTTGTTTTTTTTTTTTTTTAAGTTAAATAAATAAATAAATAAAAGTCCAATAGTATATCAAAGCACAATTCTAAAACATTGAATTGACTAACAGGTGTTAATTTATAATTAATTTTTAAAAGACTTGATAAAGTGTCAAGATATATAAACATCCTTACTTTTTTTAAACGTTTAGCTTCACCAACTTTACAGAATCAAATAAAAGTTTACTAATTCAAAATTAAACTAAAGTATATATATTTGTTCGAAGACACCCTTTCTAAATTAATCCAATCATCCTTCTTGCAACACTGTATTTTCCTAACTACTCACTGTAGGCATATATGACATAATATATCAGGGAACACTACTGCTTACATTCTAAATATATACCAGTCTGAAGAACAGGTGCAACACTACTTGATTGCATGCTCTTTTCTTCTCAGCCTAAATTTGCCCTGGAAAGGGTTTTAAAAATAAACACAAATACCTAAGAGTTGAACAATCCTCTTAAAAAGATGTAGGGATTCTGAAATCCAAGACATAAGTTCTTCAACTACCAACACCTTCCAAAAGTTAGGTAAACCAGCCTATAAAGCTTCACCTTAAAAAGATCAAGTAAGGACCAATTATGAAGGGTTCTGAGGATATTTAACTTTGCTTCCCCTGCGTGAATTAGTAACGTGAGACAAGTACGTTTTACTTCAAGCTAATATTGAATCTTTCCTCAGTCGTTTCATAAAGCACAGATACTCTGGTTTGGGTTTTTACAGATAAAGAAAGGGCTAGAGGCCCGGTGAAGAGTACTCTAAAAGGAAAATTTCAATTTAGAGAAGTACTCATGAGTCAGTCGCTTAGGGAGAACTAATTGAAAGAGAACCTAAGTGAGTAAGGCAGCATCCCAGGTAATAAGGTACTGAAAGTTGGCGGTAGGAAATGAAAACTTCTCAAGAGAGCAGCAAGACATTATGCTTGGTAGCAGCCCTGGAAAGAAGCGTGGCTGTCAAGGGGCAAGTGCATACCAACTCCGAGAGAGGGGGCCAAAAATGCCAAATCGGATGGGGGGGGGTGATGAAGGAAAAGATAATAAAATGTCCATCCCAGACCCTCTCCTCGGGCTCTCCGTCGCAACAGGCACAATCAAAAGCAAGCTTAATGCCCAATAACCCCGCGCCGGACTCTCCCACAGAGAAGAGTTTAGCCCCAAGCCCCGGAGGCCAGGCAGGCCGCCTCCAGAGGAGCCCCCGCAGACGCCATACTAAAAGTCAAAATGGCTGCCCCAAGGAAGCCCGCACCGCGCAGCTAGTAAGGGTTGGGGAACAAGCTTCTGCGGGAAAGGGGGAGGGGGACTCTCGGAAGAGCCGTCGCCAGAACCGTAGGCAGGACTATCGCCCCCCGAGCTGCACAGGTAGGTTCCCCTCAACCCTCAAGGCCCGGGGCTCCGAAGAGGGGAGTCCCGGCCCCACCCCCCCAGCCGGGAACCCCGCCGCCGCAGCCGTCCCGCACACCGACCCCAGCAAGGTACCTGCAGTTCGGCCCGCTCCACCTCCCAGTGCGCCCGCTCCATCTCGAACCGAGCCCACTCGTGCTGGATGTAGTGCAGGATCCCCGGAATAGTGTACTGCTGTGGCCGGGACAGCTCCGGGCCTGCCGCGGAGCCCGCACCCTCGGCGGCTGGAGGACCCCCACCGCCCGCCGCTCCATTTCCCCCTGGCGAAGGGCTCATGTTCCCCCCAGGTCCCTGCTGCTGCCTTGGAGGGGCTGCCATCCCCTGGCCTCCACCACCGCCTCCGGCGAGCTCGTCCATTGTGTGTGGGGCCCCGGCCGGGGCGCAGGGCGAGAAGCCGACGGCTGGGGGAAGGGCCGGGGAGGGTGGCCCCGCGCTGGCCGCGGGGCGGAGGCCGCCTGAGAAAGGGGCGAGGAGGGGGTCGTTGCTGTATGCTTGCCGTGGGTCAGAGCAGGGAGCTGCCGGCCGCCGCCATTACAGTCCCTCCTCCATCTGCCTGTCTCACTCACTCACTTTAGGGAAAGGGGGGGCCGTGGCGGGAGGGGGAAGAGGGGGCAGGGTTGGGAAGGGGATAGACGTAGGGCCGTCACTCCCGCACAGCATGCCGGGTAGAGAACGCCGCTGCCGCCGCAAGCCTAGCAGCCAAATAGAGTGGGGCCTCACCAAACGCAGGCGTACTGAGGACCCAGTAAGGGCGCTTGAGGCGGGGTAGCAGCTCTGGCCCCGCCCCCAGGCCCTCCTTCCGACTTGCTCCGGGTGTCTCGCTGAGGTTACTGGACGGTGGTCCCCCGAGACTCTTAACTTTGGGGAGCCAGAGGGGCTCGTGCTCCCAACCATCAGTTTCCCTTGCTCAATTACCAACTTCCCGAACGTCGTTCCCCACCCAAGAGTCTCAGCAGCCTGCGTGCCTTAGAAAAGCTGTTTTAACCTGACTGGCGCTCTGGCCGACCGCAGCGGGTCCCGGATTCCTGCCGTTTCTTTCGCATTCCTTGCGTGTTTCAGGGTGTCCCAGAGGGTCGGGCCTCTTTCTCTGGTTGTCACTCGCTCTTTCGCTGGTTTCTTAGCACCAGTCAGTTATTGAGGCTTGGGCGTGGGGGGGTGGGGTGCTCTCTTTTGGCAAATTGCCCAGATCCTTCCGGACGTTGGTGACTGATTCCCGGTCTCCGTTTCAAGCCCGAGCTTTGGTTCTAATTCTGTGCTCCCGGTCGCCGGTCGCAACTTGTTCCACTTTGCCTACCCCCTTCTTTACTATTCTGGTGTGGGTTGGTTGGGGTGGGGGTGGGGTGAAGCAGGAGTGAATGTTTCCATTTTTTTCTTTGGGAGAAGGGAGGGTGAAAAACTTTAGATCTTGACGATGATGTGAAGAGAGAGAAAGATAACTTTGAAGGAGACTTGTTAGACTAACAATTAGGTGTTTCAGAATGAATGGGTTGACAAATAGGATTCATAGCAGAATCTTTTGATTCACGCCGTAAAATCCTAGATGAACAGCTGCAAAGATGTTTTCCTAGGTCATTAAATGATGTTTGAATGAATATAATATACACCGAAAAGTCACGCTTAATCTTTTAAGTACCGTAGTGTTTTTATGTACTTAGGTTGCCATAAAACATCCTTAATGAACTAGTACGTTTCTAAAGAAAATTAATATAGTTAATAACCACTTGTTTGAAAAATAGGACAAAAAATATTGAACAATTAATAAGGGGGAAAAGGTTCAATAATTAGCTACCGAGGAAAATTGAACATAAAATTGATTGCATTAATTTTTTTTCTTCTCTACTACCAGTATGTAATATACAAGACCACTCAAGGTATAATTTCAAAAAGATAAAAATAGTACATCTTATTTTATCATGTCTGCTTTACTATTCTTATGTCTAATGGAGAGCAGATTGGACTTGTTACCCATGCTGCCATATTTTATTTGTAAATGAAATGAGGTCTTAGGTTACATATTATTAGGAACTATTTCTCCATATTGTTAAGTACTATTTTTCTATTTTATAGTGACCACCATACAACTTGCTTATTTAGTCCTCTTCCTTTTTAAGGGGCCTCATATCACATAAAATGTTCTAAAATATGTCACCAAGAAACATGTTTAAGCAGGTGTAATTGATCTCTGTTATGTTGGCATCAAAAGAATAACGTGTACTTATATTTCGCTCTGGTACCTCAAGCTCAAGTAAAACTAGATTGATAATCCTTCCATTTTCTTCCCCACACGCCTTCAAAAAAACAACTCTTTCTCTTCTATTACCTATCTTATTAGGTGGCACTACATTCAAACTTGAGGGCTGGCAGTCATTGTAGTACCTTCATTTCACTCATCCCCACATCCAATCCCTTTCTCAGTACATATTTCATTTCTTTCCTTATCTGTATCATATCTATTCCATTACCTTTCTTCTTGTGTTAGTTTAAGCCTTCCCACCTTACTTGTTCCCTTACCTACCACTGATGCCTGAGTGATCTCCAAAAGACAGATCTGATTCTATTGTTCCTTGCTTAAAATATTTTAGTGATGGCGTGCCTGGGTGGCCCAGTCGGTTAAGCACTGGACTCTTGGTTTGGGTTCAGGTCATGATCTCAGGGTCATGAGATTGAGCCCATGTGGGGCTCTGCACTCTGCTGAGTCCCCTGGAGATTGTCTCTCCTCTGCCCCTCTCCCTGTGCATGCTCTTTCTCTCTCTCTCTCCAATAAATTAATCTTTAAAAAAATATTTTGGTGGTCACTGGATTTAGAATAAAGCCCAAATTTTAGCATGGCATATAAAGATCCTTCAAATTCTGGATCCTCCCTATTGCTTAGTCTGCCATCATACCATCATGGCACTCCTCTCCAGGCAAGCTGCACTGATTTTGGTTCCTCAAGAGCATAATGCTGTTTCATTTCATGAGAATTTAACACATGCTGTACCCCATTGGCTTCCCTTCCCCTCTTCAGTCAAAACTTAGTTTGAGTATTACTTCTACCAGAAGGCTTTCTAGATCCCTGAATTAGATGTAGTTTTAAAATATGAAGTGCCGGGGCACCTGGGTGGCTTGGTTGGATAAGCGACAGCCTTCAGCTCAGGTCATGATCCTGGAGTCCCAGGACTGAGTCCTGCATATGGCTGTCCACTCAATAGGGAGTCTGCTTCTCCCTCTGACCCCCCCCCCCCATGCTAGTTCTCTCTCATTCTCTCTCCCAAATAAATAAATAAAAACTTTAAACAATCATAAAATAATAAAATAAAATATGAAGTGCTCCCTGTCCGCCTAGGTGGCTCAGTCAGTTGAGCCTCTGCCTTCGGCTTGGGTCATGATCCCAGGGTCTTGGGATCAAGCCTCACATCAGCCTCCCTGCCCAGCAAGGAGCCCACTTTTCCCTCTCCCTCTGTCTGCCAGTCCCCACTGCTTGATCTCTCTCTCTTTCAAATAAATAAATAAAAGTCTTTTAAAAAATTTGAAGTACTCCGAATTTGAAGAATTCCAGTTGAACATGTCTGCACCCACTTTCACCATGGTTTTATAAATGCCAATAATTCAGTCCTTGGCCATGTTCTACCCAGATCACAGCCATGTTTCTGTAGCCTTACAGCCTGTTAGAGGGATAGGACCCGTGCCCCTCTGATTTGCAACTGTACCCCCCGGGTCGGAGATAGTGCATTTGGGGATCTCCCCAAAATGATGAATAACTGAAATTTAGACTAGACTAATAGGCATATTTTTCCTTCACCTCAACTTTTTTGTAGTATTAGTTTTTGCTACCATTATATCAGCTATTTACGGTTCAGTAGCCAAAACTGCTCTGAGTTCTTTTTTTATTTTGTTTTTGTTTTTTTATAGTTGACTTTACCCTGAGTATTAAAAGAGAAAGATATCAAGATTTTCTCCAATGTGAGGAGAATATTTTTTACATTATTGTCATTGTATATTGTGTCCATGACTCCTGAGGACACTCTGCGGTTAGCTCCTGGAATCTTGTCCTTTGTATTAATGAGCTTTCCCAGGTCATATCATCACCTACAACTCACCTAACTGGAACTCCCTCCTGGAACTGTGGCTGAGTCATTTCCTCTCTTCAGTTTCACCTTTGAAACTTCTTATTTGTTCTGTCTTTTCATCAGTCCTGTTCCTCGCTGCTCCTCTCCCATTGATTCTTTTAGTTTCAGTGTACTGCTGATGATCTTCAAGAGTACCTATTTACATTAAATATAAACTTATAAATTTAGAAGTTTAGGGTTTTTTTTTCCCCTTCCTTTTAGCTTATCTTACACACCTGTGTGCTTATTCTATCTGACCAAAAAGGGATTTGTCAAATTTGATGTTAGTATGTTATATCAGTAGAAGTATGTTAAGGAATTCCAAGCTTTTAATTAAGTCAGGAGTTGTTAACATTAAGATGTCTTCTTCCCAATTATTGCAATATCTGAGGTACAAAGAGTTTTGACCCTGCCTTTGAGAACTGTATGGCTCCCTGTAATTACTCACCTGAACATCCAGTTTCACACCTTGCAGGCTATAAACCTGATGTCCTTCTAACAAAGAGCTCAAACTGGTTCTCAAACACTGATCTAGTCATCTTTTTGCATCATGTGGAAAGGTTGCAACAGGTACTCTTATCTCCATGGGGAGATGAGGAAGCTGAGATTAGAGTTCTGGGTCACCTCCTCAGGCCCTTACTAGAATAAGAAGTGAGTCCTACTCATATCAGTGAGTATATATGTTTTTTTGGAAACAAAGTCTCCCCTCACTATTCTTCCTCCTACGATCCTATTAGTTGCTTAATATCACTGTCTCTGGTTCCCAAATCATTTGTACTTCTAAAATCATTTTTAGGTGATTTGGGGTAATTTTGTCATTGGGGAAATTATGTAGTGTTTACATTTATAAATATAGAGAACAAAGGAGGAAGATCTTTGAGAAGATCTGGCATGTGCTCAAAAACCAAAGGAGCAAACTGTGTAATGTATATAGAACAGAAAATGAGGAGACAGCATTGCCCTACACCGTGGTTTAACCTGCCGAATAAGATCAGATATCTATTTCTCATTACAGGAGTTGCCTGTGGCTAAGAAAATTATAGAAATACATGCAGGGCACTTGAACTATTCAAATAATATGTTGTATGGAAAAGAAAAGGAAAAGGACCTTCAACGGTTATAGAAAAATAGGTACCAAAACTTTAAGAAACTCAGCATGCTATATAAAATTCTAGTCCAAGTTCATTCCTGAATTGTCTTCTGGGTAATATGAGTCAGAAAGCAGTATGCTTTGATAATATTGTATAATAGCTAACTCACAAAGATGTCACAATTGAAGGAAAAAAATTGCCTAGAGCAGAGTCCCTCCTGGACATTGGCTAAAAGT